CCATAAGGATACCTATATCGATGCTCATGACAGTATTTATGCTGAAAACAGTATCGATATCAGCTCCATATCTGTATTATTATACGTACCAATGCCCGGATTGACTATTACACTTGAGCCTCCTCCTGTAGGTAGTGAACCTAGTTGAGAACGTGCCCAATCAAGCCATAAGTTCTCACCACAACATTCATATTTCGATTGAACGTCATCTATTACATCAATAGAAGTTTGATCTTCAATATATGAATTCATACGATATGATAAACGTGATTTTATATAACCAATTGCTTGAGAATTAAGAACAAGCCCAACAATAATTGATACCAATGCTAAGACACCCAAGATAAATGCAGCAAGAGCAGCAATTTTACCTTGAAGAGAAAAAAATTCTCTCATGTTTATCTAAATTTTTAATATAAAAAATATTTACTTAGACCAGAATGTTGTCGCACGATGACAACTATACCTAGTATTCCAACTGCAATACTAAAAAATCCAATAACAATATTATAACCAGCTAAGCCTACTGATTGTCGAAAAATATCATGATATCGACTATATTTAGCTACAATACCAATTCCAACACCTAAATGAATGATACCCACGATCAAAATAAGGAATGTAACGATATAAGCCGCCGTAGGTCTTGATTTACCCATTTGAACAAATAAAGTTTATCCAAAAGTAATATATATCATAAAATTATACCTTTGTGCAATATTGTCTACTGTATTCAAACGTAATGTTTATTTCTTCTTTTTTTTCTTTTTGTTTTTCAGGTATATTCTTTACTATATTTATAATATATTTAAGGTTTAATATGTAACGAACTATTATATATTATATACTAAATGAAGAAGAAAAATAGTATTAAGTATAATCAAGAGAGCACATGTTTTTTTCGTATGTACGATTTGCATCAGAATAATCTACGTCATTGGATGACTGATCATATTGTAACCAATGACGTGTGTCACAAAAAATAACTACAATGTATACTTTTTGTTTTTTTTGTGTAAACTTTTCGTCCTTAAAAAATCATACTTAATAGTACGATGTTTATCATAGTGTCAACAACGCATAATTATACTTATTGCATGCATATATAAGATTTGATCATACATTATTTTTTAAATATAGATTGAAACAAAATAGAGCTATTTACTGTATAACTTCGATCAAATCATTTAATGTATTAATGTAAACATTTTTTTAGGAAAAAAACAACGTGCACTCATTTACCCACATCCTTCTTTTTAATCATATTACGTCAATATCTATACAATAGAATTTATTATCAAAAAAATGTTTCGTTTTTTTGTTTTGTTTTGTTTTGTTTTGTTATATGGCAAGACAAACAAATATATATATATAGAACAAAGACGAATAATCAACTGTATTAAACAACACATTCACGTGATGAAATAAAACTTTTTATATTCAATTGTTTTTCCGCTGATTGATCAATACATATTTCAATATGTTGATTTGATGATATTGATGATGATGATAATTCTAAACTACTAAATCCATAATCAGTACTTAATGATTGTGGAATTGTTGGAAGTTCATTTAAATGAATACATGGTGGATGTTGATTTTTACGTAATAATTCAGCTAATTTAAGATCATAATAATATGTTGATGAAGATGGATATATATGATTTATTAATTCTTTTTGATTATACCATGTTTGTATTCCACTTGATGATGAATTAGATGTTGATGATGATGATGAATGTCCATTAATAATACATGCTGAATCATCTAAATAAAAAAAGCAAAAAAGCTATTAGTACAATCCTTGTAGGACAAAAGTTGAAGCACAATATATAAGTGTTATTGCTCATCATAGAACGATTGTTTTATTCTATCTATTTTCGGACACGTTTCTTCATTCTCCTTTTACTTAATTTTCGACAAAATATAATAAGGAAATATTCACAGACTGTATATCAATAACGACTAGAGTCCGTTGTGTTCGTTCCGGATTTGAGTCTGAAAATTTTAGATTCAACGAATTCTAGTCATCTGAGAAATGTGTAAGACGCACTAGTCACTGAATACAAAAAACTGGAAGAAAGTATCTCGTATCTTCAGAATGACTATCCAACTCTGATTAGAAAATTTCACTGAGAGTACCTAAGTACGGTTCGATTTCTAAAAACATTCAATAAATTGTGTCTGTATCTGAAGATTTTAGATTCTAATTATATTTCAATAATTGTGTTTCAGAAATAGGAAAATAGTTTTATATATATTTGAACATACGATCATCATCTCGAATTGTTGAATTTGATGAAGTTTTATACCGATCACTTGAACTTTCAGTCTATAATTAACAAAAAAAAAATAAAATTTTTAAATGTAATGTATTGTTCTTTCTTTCTTTCTTCTGTTATGTACCTTTTCACTATTATAATCATCATTATATTGTAAAAATGTTTGTTGATGTGTTGATAATGATAAAATATCATTTTTAGGTTTAGTTTTTCCACAACATAAACAAATAATTAATGAAAATACAATTATACATGTACATGTTATAATTAAAGCTAAACTAATTGCATAAATAAGTATCATACGATTATCTGAGAAATTATATAATTGACATGAATTTAATATTGAACTATTACATATATCAATTTGAAGTTTAATTAATAAATATTCATTTGTATATTCATCAATTATATATAATGATAATATATATGATGAAGCATATGGATGTGATATAAGACTTATTTCACCTGTTGAACTTATATTCCAACATGAAAGTAAATTTGTATTATTAAAAAAAATTTTTGGTTGATATGTATAATTATTTAAATTTGTTATATCAATAATAAATGAAATTTTATTTTGTGTATTTATATCAAGAATTGTTCGTTGTTGAATAGATGATAATGGTAAAATTTTAGGTAATAAATTATTCTTATTTATTGATATTGAATCAATATTAATGGTTAATAATTGTATTGTTGAACGTGAATTAATTGGATCATAATCATGTGCTGTTATTTCAAATGTATAAGATAATAATGAACATGTTATAATTGTTGATTCATATGGTATATAAATATAACCAAGTGATGTTATATCAAGAATTAAACATGGATGAAATGAACGTATAGAATAATAAATAAGACCTTGTAAACCTGAATCATAATCATATGCATATATACGACCAAGTATTGAACCAGGTTGAAGTATAGATTGTGAATATGTCCAATTATATGAATGATTTTTTTCAAATTCTGGTGAATGATCATTAATATCATGTATACGAAGAATAATTTTCATTTGACTTGATAATGATGGTTGTCCATGATCATAAACTTTAATATAATATTCTAAATCAATTGTAGTTAAATTTTTTTGTTGAAATTTATTTAATATTTCAAAATCAATTGATTGATTTAAACTTAATTGACCTGTTTTAGAATTAATTATTAATAAATCTGTTTTATTTAATAAATAATATTCAATTTCACTATTTTGTTCTATATCACAATCATCTACAATTAATTTATCAATAATATAATCAATTGAATTATTTTCATTAATATTATATATTGTTGTATTTGTTATTATTTTTGGTATACAATCATTTATATCAGTTATATTTAATATTAAATATAATTGTGTATGTAATGTTGGTGTACCTGAATCATGTGCAATTAATTGTATATTATTATATAATGATTTTAATTCTCGATCAAGATTTTGATTAAGAATAAGTGAATATAATTTTATATTTTGAAAATTATTTTGATAAATTAATTTATAAATAAATGGTAATGGTGGTTCAATTGTTTGTAATTGAAGATATGGATTTCCATTAGCTAAATTAAATATATACATAAAATATATTTAATAAAAATAGATAGATGATTAATAATATGTATTATTATAAAATGTACATATTTATATTGAGTATGAATAATGGATACTCTCTTTCAAAAATCAATCTCGTAGACTCACATCGAAATAATTTTACTGAAGTCTTCAGGTCTAACAATCCTAACAGAGAATCCATATGTTTCTTTTTTTGTAAATTCTTGATAGCTATTACCATTGAGAAGGAAACTTCAAAAATACAATTAATCTTAACTTTATCATTTTTATGTAATATTAAAATAGATATCAGCATTGATAGTAATATGCTAAAGTTTAAAAGTTGTTATTATATATTATAATAAAATTAGTTAAATCAAATAATATTCAAGTTTTATTCAATATAGAAACTTCATTAACTGTGATATAGAATCGAGAGATATGCATCGGCACGTTCGATACAATTCTTTTTATTCTCTTGTAAATATGTTATATATTAACATTTAGAAGAGTTACCTATTTCTGCGAGTGCATATATTAAATTCTGTCTATTCACTCTATAGATATAATCAAAAAGATTATTTTTCTCATATTCAATTTTCTCATATTTAAAAATCTAAAATTTAAATAAATAAAATTACCAAATGAATCAAGATCATTGAGAATAACATGTGCAATTGTTGTACCGACTAATGTATTTTCTTGAATAAAAATAACATTTTTATCATTTTGTTTTTTTAATGTTATGTCTTCTAAATTATAAAAAAAAAAACATATTTTTCTTTAAATTAAATTTCGTTTTTTTTTTTTTTTTATAATTTTTACCTTCGACTTTAATTTGTATGAAAACAGGATTATCATTAATATCAATAATACGAATAAATATACTAGCATATGTCGGTATAAAATTTTCATAAGCTTTAACAATTAATCGATAAGATTTTTCTCTTTCATAATCTAAAGTTTTACTCAATTGAATTTGTCCAGTTAAATGATCAATAATAAATGGTGATTCAGTTAAAAGTTCATAAAAATTTTTTTCATTATTATCATTAATTGCTTCAATTTTTAATATTGTTGTTCCAATAACAGTATCTTCACGTATATCAATATTATAAATAGATTGAATAAATGTTGGTATTGAATCATTTATATTTAATATATGAATATCAAGTTGTATTGAATTTGAACGTTGTTGTTCACCATTATCCGATGCAGTTAATATTAATGAATAAGATGATAAACGTTGACGATCAAGTGATGAACGTACAATTAAATATGGAATATCATATGAGAAAAAATCAACATCAAAATCATCACAATTAGGTCCATCAAGTCTATATGATTGAACACTATTGAGTCCTAGAAATAAAGAAAAACAAACTAGTTTTTGTTTAATGGGCGGTATTGTTATTTTGGTTTGTTTTTCCTTAGGGCAATGTTCGTTTTTATAGAAATATATATATATGTATATTTATGTACAAGGTCAACAACGTACCTTCATCCGGATCGTTTGCACTAGGTAAAATGATTCGATAGCCTAGAGGTACATTTTCTTTGATATGTATAACATGTATCATTGATTGTTTGTCGAAATTAGGTGAATGATCATTTCGATCTTTTATTTTAATTTCAATTATTTTATAAATTATTTTATCTTGAATTTTAATTGAAAGTTGAAGAATAATTTCACATAAATTACATGAACATTGTCGTTTTAAACACATTTGTTCACGATCAAGTATTGATTTAATAATTAAATGTCCTGTTTGATTATTAATTGTAAATAAATTTTTATTTAATGGTAATAATTCATATATTTGAA